TCCATGCTGTCTCAAAGGGTAAGAGATCCTTCTTTTTTACAGCTGCATAGGGTTCCATCGTGTAATAGGCACTTCTCCAAAGAGGACATACAGATAGCCAACAGAAATATTTAAAAATGCTCAATGTCATTAATCATAAGAGAGATGCAAATTAAAACCACAGTGAGACACCTCACACCTGTCAGAATGGCTACTATCAATAAATCAACACATGACAAGTGCTGGTGAGGATGTGGAGAAAAGGTAACCCTAGTACACTGATGGTGGGCATGCTGACTGGTGCAGTCACTGTGGAAAACAGTATGGAGTTTCCTCAAAAAGTTAAAAATGGAATTGCTCTTTGACCTAGTGATCCCACTTCTAGGAATATCACCTAAGAATCCTGAAACACCAATCTGAAAGAATATATGTATCCCTATGTTCATAGCAGCAATATTTACAATAGCTAAGATCTGGAAACAGCCCATGTGCCCATCAGTAGATGAATGGATAAAAATGCTGTGATACATTTATGTTCTTTTTAATGCCTACTGTCTATTTATTCTCACTGAGATCATCCATTCTTCCCTCAAGATCTTTGAGCATCCTTATAGCCATTGTTTTAAACTCTGCATCTGGTATTTTGGTTGCTTCTATTTCATTTAATTCTTTTTCTGGAGATTTCTCTTGTCCTTTCATTTGAGGCATATTTCTTTGTCTTCCCATTTTGTCTGCCTTTTTGTGTTTGTCTCTTTGCATTAGGTAGATATGCTATGACTCCCAAATTTGTTATGAGGGCTTTCTGAAGTATGGGTTTTGTTAGGCTCAGTAGTGCAATCTTCCAGATCACCTGAGCTTGGTGCTCCAGGAGTGTTTTTTGTGGATTATGTGCACCTTCTTTTCGTAGTTGAGTCTTGACTGCTCTTGGACCTTTTGTAGGTGGTGCTAACCCTTCAAGCTAGCTGACTATAAGAATAAACCTTAATAACCGAGTATGAGTCACTGTGCAAGAGCTGCCCCAGTGGTGGAGTTGTTCCCAGCAGGGTCTGGTGCCTGCTGGATTCCCCCTTTGAGTGTGACACTTGTATGGCTAGTTGAATCAAGCTCTGGTGTAGTCTGAAGCCCACCACTGGTTGTGTTAGTTCTGGGTCCATTTGGGTGTGGTTCAGGTACAAGTAGATTATCAGATGTTGTGTGTAACCAGCCTTGGGTTATCAGGAGCTACCATGCTATTCACTGTTTGTGGCCACATCTACAGAGCCTGGGTGTGTGTGGGAGGGGCCAATCTGTGTACAAGGGCCAGCTTCCTCCAGCTTAGAGCCGAGGGTATATCTATAAAAAGTCCGAGGTTCCCTGAGGTCTGCCTCCACCTGTGAGCTACTCTGTCACCTGCTGAGGTTGCCTGTTCTCCAGAGCCTTCTGAAGGAAGACTGTAGAGTGGACCTAGGCTGGCTGTGACCCACCGACCCTTCCACGGGTCATGAGCTTGGTAGGGCATCTTGACTGGGGTCTGGAAGACAGGGTTAGTGGGTCCCCTACTTGGGGGCTGCTCGGTCAGACACTCAAGGACAGGCAAGTTGCCCCTACTCCAGAGCCATACCACTCAGTCTCTGCCAGAGTCTTTAACTCTAGCTCCCTGAGAAAGAGCAAGCTGCAGGTTCAGGTTGGGTGCAGCCAGCTGTCTCCTCTGTAGGAGCAAGCTCAGCAGGGCAGAGGCACCAGGACTCCAGAGGATAGATCAAAAGAGTCTCCTGTTGGGGTGGTGCCAGTTGAGCCCACAGGAGGGGGCCAACCACCTCTTCCAGGTCCCAGACAATAGACTCTGAGGGAGATACACTCCAAATGTTCTAGCTCCGAGCTCAGCAAGGTGGGGTCCTCAGGTGCTGGAAAGGCAAGTCAAATGAGTCTCCTGTTGGGAGAATAGTGTAAGCTGAGCTTGCAGGGGAGATTGGAGTGCCCTCCACCCCCCATGATGCAGTCACACAATCTAGCTCCTGCTTGTCTGATTCCCAGACAAAAACCTCCCAGGAGACATGCTTTTAAAATCCCAGCTCTATGTGGCACTCTGATCCCCCTGCAGGACTGAACTCAGCAGCGTGTGCCATAGGGAGTGGAAGGGCAGGCCGTGATTGGATAGGTGTATGGGAGGGAATGCTGGCTGTGCACTCAGGTGGGGAAGAATGGTTCCATTTTCAAAGCTACACAGTTCAATCACTGTCTGAGTCTCCACCAAGAGCTCCCTAAATGTCCCTGCTGGGTGCAGCCAGCAGAACCCTCTGCAGAACCTGAACACAGCAGAGTGGTGTTGCTAGTAGTTTGAGGACTGGGGAGTGCACTTCCCGGGCTGGTGCTGTAACAATAGGAGTGTTTGACCCTGGGAAGGTAGCGTGTGAATCTCTAGCAGACTCCCTTCTCTGCCAGGCTGGCTGAATCCTCACTGATTTTCACCACCAGATGCTTGGTGCGTTCTTCTTTCCATCTCTGTTGCTCGGTTGGGGATCCCTGCATGGGGTTGAGACCCCTCACTCCTGGGGGGAGAGAGTTTTGCTGCCCCAAGATATCCCTCTGGCTTCTCAGCCCTCACCCGCACATGGGGGGGAGAGAGTTTTGCTGCCCCAAGATATCCCTCTGGCTTCTCAGCCCTCACCCGCACATGGGTACAGGGGTGAGCCTTTGGCATGTCTCCTCCCTTCTTATCAGTCTCTGTGTGGCTTCTGTAAATTGGTGATAATATCTCAGTTCAGCTCCTTCAGCTGGTTATTCAGGTTGATAGCTCTATAATTCAGCTGTCAATCAGGTTTCATGCCAGGTGCTGGTGAGTGTAGCTTCCATCCACCTTGCAGCCATCTTGGAAATCCCTGTGCAGTGGGAGGACGCTGGAGGCTCTTCCCAGGGATGGCATCACCTCTCAGCTGGGATAAACTCTGGCTGCTGCCTGAGGACGGGAAGCAGGGAACGCTGCTGTAATGGTCCAGGGAAATGATGTAGCTGTGGCTGAGCTGGGGAGATGGCCAGGAGGCATCAGACTGGGAACATATTTGCATTGAACTGATAGTACTTGCTGGGGAGTGTGAAGAAAAGCTTGAACCATCACTCAGAGCAAAACATGTAACTGCTGACAATACTTTTTTTTTTTGTACCCTGGCAGGCGTTCCAAATGGGCTAGGGTGGTCCCACTGGTGGGAAGGCAGCGAGGCCTGCCTCTTGCTGCTGTTCACCCACCGGCAACAGCCGGGTTCCCTCCCTCGGAGCAGCTTGGTGCTGCCTCCATCCACCCTGTGGCTCCTCTGTTCTGCACATATGCAGAGCCCAGCCAATCAAAGCCTTCGCAGGGGCCTTTGAGCTGGGTGCCTGTGTAGGTCACCAATGCAGTGAGCCCTGCTGCTCTCCACCTAGACTGTCACCAGTCAGGCAGAAAGTACTGCTTGAAAGATAACCTGCACCATAAACATTTAGAATCCCTTATACATATTTACTCATTCAATCTTCACAACAACCCTACGAAACAGGTCTTATTGTCATCCTTAGTTGCAGATGAGGAAACTAAGGCACAGAGCTTATACAACTTGTCCAAGAGCAGAAGGCTGTGAGAAGTAGCACAAAGAATTAAGGGCACGCCCGGCTGGTGTGGCTGAGTGGTTGAGCATCAACCCATGCACCAAGAGCTCACCAGTTCGATTCCCAGTCAAGGTACATGCCCAGGTTCTGGGCCAAATCCCTAGTAGGGGGCATGCAGGAGGCGGCCGATTGATGTTCTCTCTCATCGATGTTTCTATCTCTCTCTCCCTCTCACTTCCTCTCTCTCTAAAATCAATAAAGAAAAAAAAAAGTTAACGGCAGGCAGGCCAGGTTCCAGAGTCCAAGTCTTAATCACTGCTCTGCCCTGGCCAGGACTGGTCTGCCCCTTACCCCTGCAAGGCAGCCACACTCAAGTGATAGGGTCGAGAGAGCGACAGGCAGCGTAGGGGCCAGAGGCAGCACGGAGACTATGGGGTGCTGAAGCTCGCGGGGTCTCTCAGAGGAGGGGAGGTTTGAGTGGGCCCAAGGACAGGGGTGGGCAGAGGGATGGGAGATGGAATGGCATGTCAGCTGAGGGGCAAGGAGCAGAAACACAGGGCAGTACAGGGAACAAGCTGACGTGTTTGGAAAAGGGTGAGGACTGGACCCACACAGAGGACAGGGGACAGCTGGAGAGGTGCGGCTGCAGCCAGACCAGGGAGCCACCTCACACCCTTTCCTGGCATTACAGGCTAAGGCGTCTTCCTTTTATTCTGACCCCAGCAAGTCACTGAGGGCTCGCGGCGTGGCGGGTGGAAGGCCAGTGCGGGAAGAAGCCCCAGGATGAGACAACCGCCACGAAGGAGAAGCCACCGGCCTGAATGGCAGAGACAAGACCCCACAGGGATTCCCGCTGTCCTCTCTAGGAAGTGCTGATCAACACCCTGCCATTCTAGAGGCACCCTACGACCAGAGACTCTCCTCTTAGGCATATATACCCAAGGTAATTAAAAACGTGTCCACAGAATTGCACACAAATGTTCACAGCGTTATTATTCACAAGAGCCAAGACGTGGGAGCAACCCGAATGTTTCAGTTGGTGAATGATAAACAAAATGTGGACTGTTCATATAATGGGACAGTATTCATCCATAAGAAGGAATGAAGAAAAGAAGCCAGTTACAAAAAGCCAGGTGTTGTATAAACCCATTTACATGCAGTGTCCAGAACAGGCCAATTCATAGAGACCGAAGTAGATTCGTGGCGGCCAGGCCTGGAGGATGGAGCGTGACCGCTGATGTTACCAGGCTCCTCGGTGTGGTGATCAAATGTTCTCATTAGAGACTGACAGTAGTTGTAGAAGTCTGTGAATATACTAAAAACTACTGACCTGTACACTTTATGAGAGTGAATTTTATGGTGTGTGTATTATATTTCTATAAAGCTGCTATAAAAATCTCCATATTTGATTTCCTTGTGCTGATGACTAAACATTCAAATTCCATCCTGGTGCTCAGACTCACCTTGCGTGCTGCTTGCTGAAACCGTTTTTGCGCCCTGAACCTGCTGACCCAAATATTGTTAGTAAGTGGATCGAAATTCGGATGGAATGTCTTGATTTTCTGTGAACATAAAATATAGACACATCTTAGATTTAAATTTTAATGCCTAGTATAAGCATTTAATAAAAATGGTTTAGAGTTTGATCTCAAATCCAGTCATTTTTCACTTGTTCTGCCATAAAATACACATTTATTAAGCACTTTGAGTATACACAGCATCATAGGGAATACTTCTTGGGTTGGGGGCCAAAAGTGCGATCTTTGGGCTTTAAAACCTTTACAGCGTAAGCTCAAGCAGACACAGTGACCCTGGGGAAGAGAATGAACTGCCGGGACTCACTGGCACGTGGTGGGACTCGCTGGCACTGCACCCAGGATGGAGAGGAGCAGACAGCGGTGCCCAGAGGCGGGGGAGGGCTGCTGTGCTCAGCCCTGTCCCCAGCACCAGACAGCGCCTGCATACCAGGGCCACAGTGTGAGGTGGTGGGTACATGAATGCAGAGAAAAGGGTGCCCAGGGGGTGTACTGAGGCCAGCCAGAGCTTCAGGTCTAGAGATGCTTGAGCAGGGAAATAATATGAAGAAAAAGGCATCAGAAATGAATTAGTCTCATGTTGTACATGCAGTGGGCTGGAGAGGAGAGGAAAGAGGGGTGGATATATGAACAGACAGTCCGCTGGGTTAGTTGAGGTGAATCCTGAAGGTTGGGCTTGAGGATGGCCTTGTGGGAGCTACTGGCAAGACTGGGTGGCCAGATTAAATGTGGGGGAGAAGGCCTGGCCGGTGTGGCTCGGTGGTTGAGCATCGACTCATGCACCAAGAGGTCGCGGTTCGATTCCCGGTCAGGGCACATGCCCAGGTTGTGGGCCCAATCCCCAGTGGGGGGCATGCAGGAGGTGGTCAATTGATGTTCTCTCTCATCGATGTTTCTATCTCTCTCTCCCTCTCCCTTCTTCTCTCTCTAAAATCAATAAAGAAAAAATTTAAAAAAATAAATAATGTGGGGGAGAAGAAAAAAGATTAAAATAATAACTCAGATGTGGAAAACCCAGAAAAGGAAAGTGAGAATAATGGAGGTGGGGAGATCAGGAAGCATCTGATTAGTATGGCTCAGTGGACTGAGCATTTCCAGGGACTGAGAAGTCCTGGTTCGAGTCCCAGTCAGGGCACGTACCAGGTTGCGGGCTTGATCCCCAGTAGGAAGCAGCTGGTTGATGTTTCTCTCTCATATCGATGTTTCTCTCTCTCTCTAAAAATTCAATAAAAACATTAAAAAAATAAACCTGGGTGTTCAACCAGAAACTATCACATGACAGGATATTCAGGTGGAGGAGCTGCTGTCCCATTTTCCATTTGAGGGAACGAAGGCACCAAGGCCCAGAGGGCTTTCCCCAGGTCCCAAATCTGTGGTAGACCTGGGACCAGAACTCTGGCTTCTGACTTCCTGTCTGTATCCTTCCCACAAGGGGAGGATCAATGAACAGAGGCCCAGGGACCCACCCTGGGGACCTTCAGACAGGGGTGTGGAGAGCAACGGAAACCGAAAAGGAGACGGAGAAGGAGAAAGTAGAGGGGCGGGAAGGAGAAGTCAAAGTATGTAATGCTGTTAATTTCAAGGAACACATTAATTGTGAGTTTGATGCTTTATTTGTGAATATGTAGTAAAAACACTCTGAAAAGGTAAGCATATGAAAATTATTCAATTTTTCTTGTTAATAGGAGTTCTTTAAAATTGTTCATTGTTTAAAAGTAATCATATGAAGAGCTGCCAATAATTAGATTCCAAATAAAGAAAAGCTACCTACTTCTTCTAGATGGTGAACAACACGTTTCTGGGTAACTTCTGTCTTCAGTCGCTGAAATTCCTCCTCCAAAACAGGATCTCCTCTCTCTAGCTGGGGTTTTTAATCATCAAAAATATTAAAATTGAATACAAATGCACACAACTTTATTTCTTTTTAAAACTGTTAGAAGCCCATTATACAGTTGTTCAACTCCAACCCAGAAGTTCCTGTTGGGAAGGGTGGTGACATAATTAGGCTAAAATGATCATTATAGTTATACTCACTGTTTAAACATAGGGAATTTGTGTGAGGCACAAAGCCAATATCTTTTTTTTGTTTTTTTTTTATCGTCACCTGAGGACATTTTTGCATTTATCTTCAGATACAGCAGGAGGGAGGGAGGGGGGAAGAGAGAGAGAAACATCGATGTGAGAGAGACACATGGAGTGGCTGCCACCCACATGACCCCAATTGGGGCCGGGGATAAACTACAACCGAGGTACATGCCCTTAGCAGGAACCAAACCCCGGACTCTCTGGTCTGGGGGCTGACGCTCTAACCACTGAGCAACTAGCCAGGGAAATATCTTCTTTTTGTAACTAGAGGAGAGTGTCTGGAAGTCACAGAAAGGATTTTAGGGAACCGTGTAACCGTGGGAGTATAGCGATTTCATTTCAAAGAAATGTAATGTCCCAGCGAAGTTTTAAGCTCCTCAGAGCTATTATCCAAGAATCTGGCTTTAACAAAGGCAAATGATCCTGTTTTCCTGCAAGGCAGAGGGGACGGGGTCTGCCTCTTCCCTGGAGCCAGTGTCCCCAGGCTGCTCCCTTCCCCGCCTGCTTCCCCAGTGGCCCCTCAGCTCTGTCCTAGTCCCGGGAGCCAGGGAGCCACGGGCCGCTCCCAGGAGGCTGGCGGGGCGGGTCGGTGCCCACGTCGGCCATGGGAAAGAGGAGGCTCGCACTGCAAACATTTCTGCCTGTTTGTGGTTTTAATTACTTGTTTGTTGGGTAATTTCCCAAACTAGCTTGGCTCTTAGGAACACTGTTCATAATAATTTTTAAAGACTGAACTAGAAGAAATCTATTCTGACCACATTAACACCCTATCCAGAGGTAAGAGAATTACAGCACCGTCCCCAAGGGATGAGCTGCCCAGCTCTAATCTGCACATGTCAGAAAGTTGAGTTTGAGATTGTGGACCTTATGTTCAGTTTTTGTGGGGAGAGATCCAGACTGTCACAAACCCTAAAAGTAAAATACTAAATAAGCAGTTTAAAGAGGGGATTGGCAAGTAGGTTGATAGCTAGAAGAAAGGAGGGAGATTCCTACAACTCGTTTAGGACTCTACTTATTTATGGTGAACATTTCAGAATTTAGTCTTTCTCACCTGCCCACGAGCTCGTCATCACTGAGGGGTTGAGCCCTCCAGTCTCCCACCCTCTCTCTCTCTGCCACATGCCCTGGGCCTCCAGGTGTTCCCTGCCACCGGGTTACCAGCCAGGATTCAGCTGCCAGACGAAGTCTAAACACACAGAACAGGGTCTGCGCAGCACTTGCTCTCCTACTGCACTGGGCTCCCCAGGTGGCCTGCTGTTCCTTCCACCGGTCCGGTGACTGACAGAAAGGATGCGACTGCTGCGTCCCTGCTCCCTCCCCTGCACGCGGCCTGACTACACCCGCAGTCCTTCCTTCCTCGGCCTCTCCGGGGCTTCCTCCCGGGCAGACAGTCTTTCCCCTGACCGTGGCCTCCTCCCAAGCGTTTTCAAACTTTTCCTCTGTAGCAGCTCTTTGACCTCAGCCTATAAACATGCTCAAGTCTTTCGATCAAAAAAACCCTTCCTTTCCCTGGCTGGTTTTCTCAGTGGTTAGAGCATCGACCCGTGGACCGACAGGTTGCGGGTTTGATTCCCGGTCAAGGGTACATACCTGGGTTGCAGGTTCCATTCCTGGTCCCAGTGGGGGTTGTGCGGGAGGCAGCTAATTGATGTCTCTCTCACATCGATGTTTCTCTCTCTCTCCTTCCCTCCCTTCCAGTCTCTCTCTCTAAAAAAAAGAAATCAATGAAGAAATATTCTCGAGTGAGGATTAACAAAAAATAAAAAATAAAAAAACCCTTCCTTGACCTCTCACCCCCCTCAAAGGGTCCGTCTGGTACTGTTCACCCCTGCTCATTTCAGCTTCTCAAGAAACCATTTCTTAAGAAACCACTCACTTCTACACGTTCCTTGAGAATTACAATTTGGTTTTCTCCCTGTTCAAGTCCACCGAATTTGCTGTCCCTTGAGGCACACAACGCCTGGAAATGACCACATCCCCTGTCCTCTTCAGGCCTTATTCTCCTGGAATCCTCTCTGCACTTGACTGGTCCCTCCAGGGCTGCTTTCTCTGTGTTCTCCAGACCCCCTGACCTCCCAGCCGTTTCTCCTCTACCTCCTCAGTCGTCTGCTGTTCTCCCCTTGAATCACGAAGTTCTCTGGAACTTCTGCCTTGAGCTACTGTCTTTCTCAAGCTCTACTCTATGCTGATCACTCCCAGGACTCTCCAGCTCAGACTTGCTCCTTCAGCTTCCACATGGATGCCCTCCAGTCACCGCAGGTGTAACATGTCCCAAATTAAACTCTTCATCTTCCACTGAGCCAGCTTCTCTTCCATATTTGAGACCTCACTGAAAACCACAAACACGCACAACGCTGGAAACCTGGGAGCCACCCCTTTCCCGTACCCCTCATTTCCACTGTATCTACAGGTTCTAGCTCCATCACTGCCTCAGCACATTCTGCTTCATCTCTCGAGGTCTCTGTGCCCCTTCTAGACGCGATCTTCTGGGGAGGCAGGGGCCATGCTCACCAGCACAGAACCTCACCTGTAGTGGGCGTTCTCTCCATACACTTGCCAAGTGAACACACAGTTGTGTTTGTCTGTCAACCAAATGCTGGCAATTATAGCCCTAACTCGCACTGACCTGGCTGCGGCATGTCTGTATCAACTTCATCTTTAAAGCAGTTAGAAAATATCCCGCTGTGAGATTCACAGAAAACACCTGATATTTTGTTTTTCAAATTGTGTGCAAAGGATCTGAGCAACACACCCAACTAAATTTAAATGCCACTCTAATGTGTGCCTTTCCTAAATGCTAAGATTTACCAATGTCATGATTTTACATCCTTTAAAAAAAAAGAAAAATTTACTCAAACATCTGATTTATACTCCAAATCTAGGAAGGAAAATATTCTATATGAGAACTATGTTCATATCTGACAAGATCCATGTCTTTTTCCTAATCCCTCCTACCAAGTACTGCCACTGTGTAGCATTGAGTGTGGGAAACCCACACCCCCACGCTTCAATTTATATATTATGGCTGAATGGCATTCCTCCAAAACTCATATATTCAAACCCTAACTCCTAGTCAGGAGATATGGTATTGAAGGAGGTAGTCAAGTTAAAATGAGGTCATTAGAGGAGGACCTTTGGACACAGAAAGAAGACAGGGTGAGACCCAGGGGAAAGATGGCCATCTGCAAGGCAAGGAGAGACCTCAGGAGGAGCCAGCCCTGCCCACACCTTAATCTTGGTCTTCCGGCCTTCAGAATTGTGAGAAAATAAATTTTTGTTGCTTAAGCCACACAGTCTGCTGTATTGTTACCGCTGCCCTCGCTGACTAATACAGTAAGCGACGATTCTGTAAGTCCTACCAATCAAGTCCAAGCCCCTGCAACAAGAAGCCCCCGCCAAGCCCTACCACCTCTGGCCCCTGTGTGTCCTGTGCTTCAGCCACCGTGGACCTGCCCCTACTGCTCTCTGCACCTGCCCTGCACGTAACAACGCCGTATGCCACGGTGAGCCCAGCGCGCTGCCCAGTCCCACAGCTCCTCCTCCCCCTTTCCTGAACCTGCAGGGCTGCCTGGGTGACTCAAGTGGCCTCCCCTAGCCAGTTTCCCCCTCTCTGCTCAGCCCCTTAGAATGTCTCTGACTTGGAACTTTGGTTTGACCGTGGACCTGGCGTGGCTCCTGGTTATTGTCTTTGGGTCTCTCTTACCTTCATGCTCTGCATATCACGGACAGGTGCAATTCACACCTAGAATTCCAGGTAAACTTGAAGCATTTCCCTCTCTCTCAATTGAATACCTTTGTCCTCTTTAGGATTTTTCAAAATTATACCTTGTCTTAAAGGAAGCTTTCCAGTTAGATGAGTTCTCTCTCCTCTCTGGCTTCTGAATCCCCTTTATAATTACTAGAGGTCTCTAGTGACATTTACAGCCAGCCTTCACTTATAGTTAACAATTAACTTGTCATCCTCCCCTCCAAACTTAACAACAGTTTTCCCGTCCTTGATATTGCATCTTGCCTATAGCAGGAATTCAAAACAGTCAGTGAACTACATGATATCCAATTAGCAGTAATTCTGACCTTGTATTTGTTGTTTGCTTTTTGCTGCTCTTCAGAAAGGTCTTTTATAAATTTAAAAGACATATGATCTTTACCAAGGTGCACCTGCCTGGGGAGAAAAACAACAGCATTCAGAACCATCAGGATACAAGAGTCACTTTTAGAATGGAGGGTCTTAGCTACACTACGACTGGAAAGGGCTGCCGAGATACTGGAGGACACACCAGGGGCAGAGAAATCGTGGACTTCAGCAACATAATTAAGATTAATAACGTGTTCTGTGAAATTAAGCTTATCTTCTGGTGACACAGGCTGAAATATTTATGAATAAAAAAATCTGGATGTTCAGCATCATTAGTCATTAACAAAATACAAATCAAACTACAATGATGTACCACTTCACACCCATTAGGATGGCTATAATGATAACAAAGAAAATTAACAGGTATTGCCAAGGATATAGAGAAGTTGGAATGCTTAAACATTTCTGATTGGAATACAAAATGGTTTGGCCATGATGAAAACCTTTGTCAGTTCCGTAAAAGTTAAACAAAAAATTACCACATGACCAAGCAATTCCACATGGGCTATATGCTCATGAAAACTGAAAAGATATGTTCATACAAAAACTTGTATATAAATGTTCATAACAGCATTATTCACAATCTCAAAAAAATGGAAACCACCCAAATGTTCATCAACTGATGAATAGATAAACAAAATGTAGTATGTCCATATAATGGAATTAATCATCCATAAAAGAAATGAAGTCCCGATAGATGCTATGACATAGATGAACCTTGAAAACATGTTAAATGAAAGAAGCCAGTTACAAAAGGCCACGTATTATATGATTCCGTTTATAGGAAATGTCCAGAACAGGCAAATCTATAGTGGTTGCCAGGGTCTGGGGGAGGGGAATGAAAATGACTGCTTAATGGGTATGGGGTTTCTTTCTGGAGTGAAGCAAATGTTCTGGAATTAATTAATGGTGATAGTTCCTTAATATTGTGAATATACCTAAAACCTCTGCATTGTACACTTTAAAATTATTAAAATGGTGAAGTTTATATTTTATGCATTTTATCACAGTTTACAAAACTCTGGTATGTCATGAATTTATCATGAAGCCTGGTACATGTTCAAAATAAGTAGTAGCTATGGTTTTAGAAATTAAAGGGGTGTCTAGAGAACTGTTTTAGACGAAAGGAGACTAAAGAGACACGGAAACTAAATATGAATTGTATGATCTTTGATAGGACCCTGGATCTTCCTCTCCAAAAGTGAAAACCCAGGTATAAAGGACATTAATGGGATGGCTGGGTAAATCTGTGTACGAGCTGATTATTACACTATTATTGTAACAATTTTAAATTTCTCAGAATTGATTATGGTAACGTCTCTGTTTTTAGGAAGTATATGCTAAAGTCTTTAGGAGTGACACTTCACGGTGTCTGAAATTTACTTTTAAATGGTTCAGGAAAAAAAAAGTGTGTGTGTGTAGAAAGTAAGGGGAAGTATATCTGGCATAATGTTAACAACTGCGGAACCTACTCAAGTGTATATGGGTGTTACTGGAGGGTTTAAAATCTTTCAGCAAAAAAAGTTGGGAGAAAATATTAAATGAATAATACAGCATTGAAAACTGAATTTAGGGTATGATTTCAAGCATAGAAGGAAGGACATGGTCATTGCATCATACTAACTTTTTTATCTTTAAATTTTTAAAATTATTTTGAAAATATATGATCATGATAAAACATTTAAACACAGCAACATAGTGGTTATTTTTTTCTTCCCAATACTTTATAAATAATATTTTTGGGTTTTCTACCATGACAATGTGTTCATTTTTATAAATGAACAAAATGGGGAAAAATATTTTTAAAAAATGATCTTTGAAGATGGTGCATAGGTAAATGTGGTATGCAAATCCTCCCACAATCATGTCAAAATTAAAACTAAACTATAGAACAACCATCATTCAGAACCCCCCGAATTCTAGCTGAACATAGGTCCTACTATTAAGAATATAAAGAAGAAGCCACATAGAGACTGGTAGGAGGGTTAGATATGAGGAATGATCTGGTCCCACACCTACGTGTGACAGATAAAAACTGGGAGGGATATTTGGGCTGCAGAGGTACTCCCTAAGGAGTGAGGGGTCCCAGCCCCACACCAGGCTCATCAGCCCAGGGTTCCAGGGCCAGGATGAGAAGTTGCCATAACTTCTGGCTGTAAAAACCAGCAGGGATTATGGCCGAGTGAGGTGCAGGGCAGCTGGAGTCCCAGGTGTTCCTCTTAAAGGGCTCATGCATGAACTTACTTGGACTCACTCCCTCTGAGCTCCAGCACAGGGGCAGCTGCTAGAAGGGCACCATACACATACTGGGAAGAACTGAAATGTCTGGCATAAGGGTGAGAGCTGAAGGGGCAGCTTTCTCCCAGACAGAAGTGCTGGCAAAGGCCATTGTTCCTTTCATGGGCCCTTCCCCACAGAGCTGGTAGGTGGGCATCATATCTGAGTCTCCATCAACCATGCTAACACTGTTAGCCCCACCCTGGTGATTCCCTGAGACTCCCCCACCTGACCCAACTTGCGAACCCATCCAAGATGTTTCCAGTGGCTTTTCCATATGAATGGCTTGTCTTGGATCATGTTTCAGGTTTTCCTAAAATCTCTCAGACAAGCAGCATCTGGCCTCAGACTGCCATGTACCTGTCACTAAGTGGCCCCAGGCCCAGCACTAGTGACAGTCAGCCTTGGTTTGCAGCTTGGCTTCTCCAGGGTGCCTCTAAGTCCAGTACAAGTAGCTGTCATCTGCAGATTACTTTGTGGTTCATGCTGGATGGCCCTGGGCAGAACATAGGTGGTGGCTGACACTGGCTTGCCTCTCCTGGGAGGCCCCAGAACCAGTGCAACAAGTGAACAGTTTTGGACCCCGTCAAAGCATACCCAACCACACACTCAAGGGAAGACTCAGCAGGCACCAGAACCTCATTGAAGTAAGTCTTGCTCCAAGGGGTGAGCCCCTACACAGTTGATCCTCCACAGTGGTTGCAGCCAGTCCATGCAGCTGATCTGCCTGTGGGTAAATCCCTCCCATTGATGTGTCAATAGCAATCAAGGCTCAGGTGTAACAGGAGGGTATACATAGCCCACATGGGGGATCCACCTGGAGTGGACAGATCAGATAATTGAAAAGGCTGCACCACTGGTCCCCATAGGACATCTACTACATAGGGCCAATCTACCAAGCCCAGGAGACATAGCAGCTCTACCTAATACATAGAAACAAATACAGGGAGGCAGCCAAAATGAGGAGACAAAAAACATGTCCCAAATGAAAGAACAGAACAAAACTCCAGAAAAAGAGCTAAACAAAATGGAGACAAGCAATTTACTAGATGCAGAATTCAAAATAGTGGTCATAAGGATGCTTAATAAACTTAGGGGAAGAATAAATAATCTTAGTGAGAACTTCAACAAAGAGATAGGAAACATAAAAACAGAACTAGAAAACATTTAAAAAAAAACAGTCAGAAATAAAGGATACACTAATAAAATGAAGAATACATTTCAGGGACTCAGCAGTGGGGTAGATGAATCAGAGGATTAAATCAGAGATTTGGAAGATAAGGAAACAGAAAACATCCAATCAGAATAGCAAAAAGAAAAAAGAATCCAAAAAAGTGAGGATAGTATTAGGAGCCTCTGGGACAATTTCAAGTATACCAACACTCACATCATGGGCGTGCCAGAAGGAGATGAGAGAAAGCATGAAATTGCAAACCTGTGTGAAAAAATAATGCTGGAAAACTTCCCTCACCTGGTGAAGTAACTAGAAATACAAGCCCAAGAAGCACAGAAAATCCCAAACAAGATGAACCCAAGGAGGCTCACACCAAGACACATCATAATTAAAATGCCAAAGGTTAAAGACAAAGAGAGAATCTTAAAAGCTTCATGAAAGAGAGTTACCTACAAGGGAGCTCCCATAAGATTGTCAGATGATTTCTCAACAGAAACTCTGGAGAACAGAAAGGATTGGCAAGAAATATTCCAAGTGATGAAAAGCAAAGACCTACAACCAAGTTTACTCTACCCAGAAAATCTATCATGTAGAATTGAAGGACAGATAAAGAGCTTCCCAGACAAGAAAAAGCTAAAGGAGTTCATCATCACCAAACCAGTATTACATGAAATGTTAATGACTCAGTGATCCCACTTCTAGGAATATACCCCTAAGAAGCCTGAAACACCAATCAGAAAGAATATATGTACCCCTATGTCCATAGCAGCACTATTTACAATAGCTAAGATCTGGAAACAGCCCGAGTGTTCATCAATAGCTGAGTGGATAAAAAAACTGTGGTACATATACACAATGAAATACTATGCAGGTGTAAGAAAGAAAAACCTCTTATCCTTTGAAATGATATGGAGGACCTAGAGAATATTATCCTAAGTGAAACAAATCAATCAGAGAAAGACAAATACCACATAATCTCACATATTTGTGGAATATAATGAACAAGACAAGCTGATGAACAAAATACACCCAGAGACATAGAAGTAGGGTACAGACTGACAATCCTCAGAAGAGGGGGTGGGGGTGGGGAAGAGATATGCATATATACACAACCAATAGACATAGACAACAATGCTGGGGCTGGGGGCAGGATTGGGAGGAGGGTGTGAATGGGGGAAAAAAACATCTGTAACAACAACAAAAATTTTTTTAATTAAAAAAATAAATAAAGGGACTTCTTTAAGAAGAAGGAGAAAAAAGATAAAAAATATAAATTATAAAATGGCAATAAATATATATCTATCAACAATTGAATCTATTTTTGGTTTAGATAGAGTGGGAGGGAGAGAGAGGAAGAGAGAGAGAGAGAGAAACATTGATGTGAAAGGGACACATCGAGTGGTTGTCACCCACACGACCCAACCAGGGCCGGGGACAAACTGCAACCGAGGTACGTGCCCTTAGTGGGAATGGAACCTGGGTTTCTCCGGACCGCAGGCCGACGCTCTAACCACTGAGCAAAACCAGCCAGGGCAACAATTGAATCTAAAAAACAAAATAAACAAACAAGCAGCACAGAGACAGACTCATAGATACAGAGAACATTTTCACAGTTGCCAAAGGGGTGGGGGGATGGGTGAAAAGGTGAAGAGAATAAGAATTGGTAGTTACAGAACAGTCTTGGGGGAGTAAAGTACAGCATAGGGAGTACAGTCAATAATATTATAATAACCATGTATGGTGTCAGATGGGTGCTAGATTTATTGGGATGATCACTTATTAAGTTATGTAATATCTAGTCACTGGGATGTACACCTGAAACTAGCATAAGTCAACGATAATTGAAAAATAGAAAATTATTTAACATACTCTTCAGTTACCTGGCATACTTCCTATTTGGCTGAGATCAGATCCTGAATACAGACTTACACTGAAGCAGGTGGTATTTCCATGAGAACAAAGTGCACCTGCCCCCATGCAGGCAGGGTGGCAGGGTGGCAGGGTGACAGGGTGACAGGGTGGGGCACGCCTAGGCAGGTGAATGGACAAGGCCTCTCAAAGACTCTACAGGATTTTTTTTTTTTTTAGCTTAATTTACATGTTTCTGAAGTTTGCTTTAGCTGAATCTGCACACATGGATATGCCTGGTATAGGACCTGATAAAATTTGTGAAAAGAGCTCCATTTTGATTGCAGGAGCAGGCAGAAGTCTCACATCTGAGTTTGAAAACCTCCTGCACTGCTGGGCTCCCGCAGGCCCCCGGGGGCTCCGGTGCAGGTGAGACCTGGGTGGTTTGGGAACAAGTGGGTGCTGGCAGCAGCCCGCAGCAAGGAGCAGTGTCCGCCTCTCCCAGGGCACTCTGGGTCTGCCACTGTCTGGTCATGCTTAGAAAGGGGCACAGTTTGGTCACATTGATTTATTCCGAAAAGAAACTTCATTCTGAAACAGAAGGTTCAGTGGAGGGAAACAATAATCAAAATTTTCAAGAGTTATGACATTTCATTGTCTCATAAAAAAGCCATTACCAAAACAAAGTGCTGTCAATTGATACAAATAACTGCTCAATATTTACCACTTAAGGTGATTTTCAGTCTCTTCACAAGTGTCCTGTCTGACTTTCTGTTCAAACAGTGCCTCCTTCATCTGCCTTGTTTTTGAAATCTCATTGCCTTGGTCCAAAACTGAGGGTAGGAGCAGACAAGGGTTATCCCAGTAATCAAATCAGAATCATTTGCTGAGAGAAAAACACATTTCTAATGGCGGTCTAACTGAATTTTGTTGTTATTGTTCATGAATAGTAAATGCCACAAGCAATAATTCTTTCATACTCTGCCCAGGTGCTGATTTATGGTGGATCATCTGGTTACCTTCTCTTAATTCTTTAATCTTCAATTTTCCTGGTTCTTGGTTTAAAACAGTTGCCACAGCAAATGGATTTGATAAATCTACTGGAAATCTCAAGTTCTGATATTCAATTTCCTGGGAACAAATCAGGAGAAAAAACTTCATTATTTTGCTTCTCTCTCACTCATCCCATCATGGTTAACATGATGCCCACTTACTTTAATTTTTGGAGGTTTTAACTTTGCTGGCAGTCGGTGAAAATTTACCCGTGTCATTGACTTTTCTGGAGGAACGTCTACTTTATTACAAAGAGCATTTAATCTTTCAAATTCGTCTAATCTATAATTTAAAACAGAAATTAAATTAGTATATAATGCAATGACCCAAGTTTCCTATTTTTACCTTCCTTCTGATAATACCATGACTTATAGTCTATTAAGTAATCATTGTAAATCAAGTGGTGTGCTAAAACATTGGTCTCCTGAAATAAATGCAATGTCAGTATACCAAAGGATAACCATTTACATTAAAATAGTTTACCAGTGACTCTTTTTCCTTACATTCTCAAAGAACATAACAAGTGGAAAACATGATATGCTGAAAATTGCTCCTATGGTCTAGCAGAATTCATTTCTAGATTACTGGTTTTCAATAGCTAAATTTACTACATTAAAAAAAAAAAATCTTGCATTGATTTCTCTTCCTAGCAAAGAATGAGCATGCCCACTGTTTGTAGTAAGATCTTTCAAAAAGTGATTCAGACTAATGTTTGAGACTTTTTCTACATTGCAAACTGCCTTTGGACATACGTACGTATAGACAGTGTTGCTAACATGCCTACGGAAGCTATTCGAATTATTTATTATGAGATGTAGTAGAAACATTATGATCACAAGTTTTTTCCATTTATCTTCAGATAGAGTGGGAGAAGGCGGGGAGAAACATTGATGTGAGAGAGACACATCGACTGGTTGCTTCCTGCACAACCCCGACCAGCCTGGGGACTGAACCGCAACTGAGAGGTATGTGCCCTTGATCAGAATTGAACCCGCAACTCTTTGGTCCATGGGCCTACACTCAACTGCTGAGCCAAACTGGCCAGGGCTATGAAGCACTTCTTTAAGCAAGAATATCTAACACTTGTTTTACAGGATTGCATATTTCCATGATATTACAGATAGAAGATAAGAATATGCTAAAGTTCACTCATTCTGACAGCCAATACCCATTTGCTGAGCACGTAAGAACTGGCTCCACTGCAAAGCATGGGCAACATGCCAGCAACCTCAAATTGAACATGGCCTAGGTAAGAATGTCCTGGAAGGCCCATGGCTTGGGAGACCCTGTCCTCTGGTGAGATACACTGATGGACATGCTGTGATGTGCAGGGATGAGGCGCCTGGTTAGGGAGTGAGCTGCGGCTCAGCATCCACATCTCAGAAAGCTTTGACATCGCTGCCGTAAATACTGAGAAACAACAACAACAACAAAGTTGAGGGTGTTAAAAACAGTCTCCTCAAGAAATCTAATTGCTAGTGTTGATAATAAAAATGAAGGGGTCTTTGGCAGAGAAAGACAAGCATAGAGACATTCTACGCATTACCCATATTATAAAGTGTATTTTAAGTACGTTTTTGATGGCATTCTGTTACAATAAAGAAAGACAGAATAGAAGGAAGACTTGGCATTTTAGAAAACTTTTAAGAATAAACAAAAGTATCCTAAGGCGGCCATACTGCAGAGCCATGTTGGGATGGCACGATCCGGTGAAGACACATTCGTAGGGCTGAGAGTTGAACTGCGAGATCCACAGCTGCATCCTCACTTGTGCGATCCCGTACTGAAAGGGCCTGAACGTCACGGTCACGTTCATCTTCCCGTTGGCCGGAATGATCCCTGAGAGGAGGAAGTGACAACAAAGTGAGATCCTTTCCCTGCGAAGTCCTGTCAAAGAGGAACACGCGCGAATACGCAGGCGCACATACACACGCACATACGTGCACACACACGCACGCATGCGCACACACGCACACCTGTACGCACGCACACTCATTCTTCCCAGGATAAACACAATCATTTCTATCCTTTTTAATAGTCTTTTCATTAAATACATGTGAATCAACTTCTGGCGTTTACATCAATTTTATTTACCAATTACTATATTAATCCTTTATAATAATTATTGGATTGTGTCAATTACATAAATAAATATATACTGTACATGTCAGTCAGTATATGGAAATCACAGATAAATTCTCAGAAACAAAATCTTTAAACTAACTACCAGATGTCAATGTTAATGCTGTGAGCAACAAGGATAAGCTAGGAACACACATACAAGTTTTCGTCCAAATAATGCAGTTCCCTATATTTTTGTATAATTTGATTCTTTGCTTTAAAATTTTCATGATGAACAACTGTTCTCTTCAAAGTCAAATATCCCACCATGTCTTATTCCTTCCTTGTCTCTGTTGCCACCAGGGCTGGAACATAGTAAAGGCTCAATAAACGTGGAAAGAAGAATAAAAGGGAGAGCGGTAGGAGGAGGGAGGATCAAGGTTCTAGGTTTGAGAAGGGCTGATATTCTGACTCCACGGAAGGCTCTCTGGCTTGCTTCTAAATGATTCCTTATGGCCCTGCGCATCTGGTCTTCCCAGTCCCTGCAGGGGCCTTGCACATTCTCTAGTAAACTCCTGACATACCTCCTCCCCATCGAACCCTCTCTGAACCCACCCGTACTTTCTACGCTTCACACAGACACTTCCCTCAGCCAGCTGAGCACTCAGGGAGCACACACTGTGTGCCAGGCACTGTTTTAGGCTCTGGAGAAACAGCAATAAACCAAATCAGAGTCATGGATCTGAGAGTTTACATTCTATTTGGGGATAGCACACAAAAATAAATAAACAAGTGAATATAAAATATAAAGTCATGAATACCAACAAGAAAAATAACGCAGGGTATGGGGAAGAAAGCAAAATATGACACGCTTTCTGAGATAGGGTGAACGGAAAGGCCTCTCTGGGGAGGAGAGGCTGCTGCTGAGACCTGCAGGAGAGGGGCCTTCACACTAGTCCTCAGAGGTTGGGCTCCTGCTGCCTCAGGGCCTTGGCACTTGCTGTTTCCTTTGCCTGGGAAGCTCTTTCTCCAGCTCTTTTTCGTTTTTCATCCTACTCTCTGAAATTACTTCTCTACTGTCTGCCTTTCCCTGAATTTGAATGTAAATTTTACAAAAGTAGGCGCTTTTAACTGTGTTTAACCTCAATAAATACTTGTTGAATGAATATTTCATCCTACACATTACGTGAAACTCCTCCTGAGTCTCCAGCCACAGGAACCGAAGGCTCACCTCGGTCAGCCCTCCGATCTTGCCTGCCTGAACCACTGCCTCCCTTTACAAGCTCCTAGGAGACTGCAAGCCCCTAAGGCAGACAACAGGCCCCAAAGCTCTTTTATCTTCCTGGACCCCAAGCCTAGTGCTCCAGAAACAGATATTTCTCAATTTCCTGAGAGCAGAAGTCAAAATCTTTAAACAACACCCACTCGTGATTCCAGAGACCACCACAGGGAAGAGGCGATCAGCAGAAGAGCTCGGTTCTCTCCACCAGCCTAAGATCAGCAGGGCAGAGCGCCATGATGCCCTGGGGTTCGATACCTTGACCACCCACTTGACCAGAAAACAGACCTGTTTGACCTGCAATTCACTGGGGGCTTTAGAACATTCTAGTGCTTCTGCTCTAGCTCATTAACCTAAAAAAATAAGAACAAGCTCTGGAGCAAGGATTAATGTTTGCCTTGCCCTGGCTGATTTATTTTTAAGTGTTCCCAGCCCAGATGGAATACATAAAGCACACTGGCACTGTAGCCTAGGCAACCGGACTACACTGCCTTTTCCATTAACAGGGATACCAGTCAACACAGCTCTGTTAACAGAACTTGGTTGCAGCTGATTGTCAAATGCTAACAGCCACAAAAAGTGTGCCAAGCAGTCATAGCTTATTGTTTGGCGAAAATTAATGGTGGGAGAAATGAGAGTATGTTTCATGTTTTAGAAGTGAGAAGAGCCCCCCCAAATTTACTATTTCATTAAAAAATCCCAAACTATGATTTTATGACTTCAATTACATTTCAGATCATTACCTTTAACACAACCAGACATAATGTTAAATCACAGGGCAGGGAGGGTGATGAGGCAGAGAGAGAGAGAGAGGAGAGAAAATAGAACATAGAAACCAACTAAAGGCTAAAAAAACCCTGGTTTATCAATAAAACAATGAGTCTTATGAAGAAAACGTAAAACACTTAGAAATGCTATAACTATAAGTGAAGTCAGCAGAAAATAGCACTGTATCTTTGCCTTGATTACAGTGATGTAAGATGCTCACAAACACGAGCAGTTACGAAGAGAAGATGGAACCATGAAAGTACATTATTTGCTAGGGCTTAAGGCCCAGGATGGGGATAATATTTTAAAATTTCTTTTCTTACATGTCCATACAGTGTCATTACAATGTTGTTATAATTTTTAAGTAACTTTTCCTTCAAAAATCTCAGAAAGTACAGGCCAGTCCCCCCCATGCTGGAAGTGCTAGTATTGACCTTAATCTTCCATATTTAGGGCTTCACTAGCTGTGATTTTGGGCAAACTTCTTAATCTCTCTGGCCCAGTTGGAAATTTAATAGTCACATAGTTTAAAAATTGTCCACGAACAAGCTGTTGACAACTCGAACAGTCTTTGACTCCCTGGATTGCGGAAGGGAAGGCTTCAAGGAGTTCCTCCTTCTCGCTCTCTGCCGGGAGTCACACGCCACCCACTGGGACGATCGGAGGCCGTCATGCTGCCCAGAGAGTGCGGACAGGGAAGGGCCCCAGGGACCTCACAGACTCCCCCACCCCCCGACTCACACCCTTGTTCCGCCTCCTGCGGGCTCAGTGACTTGGTTGCTTTGCCTGAGCCTCACTTTTCTCATCAGCAGAATGGGGTGAGGAGAAAACCAGGTGCAGTGTCTGGGATAATGCTTGGCACATGGTGTGTGCCCCGTGAATGTGTCCTCCTTAATGTCTGAGCCCAATAAGCAAGTTATAATTTCTTGTGTATGAAATTATCATTAACATGTCAAAAAGAGGAAATGTTTCTTGGAAAAACTGTGCTTGACCCATTTGAATTCTTAATAGGCCCAGTTCTTGTTTTAATCTTTAATCCGTTCTCCCTCCAGCAAGGGTTTGTGACTAGAACCAGAAATAAGTAGTACTGAAATCTTCCTTTTCCTCTCTGCCCATCAATACCAAAGTGCAGACCTTGGAGCAGTACGAGAACACCCTGGGGCTCTGCCTGTGTGGACGGAAAGCTGGGTAGTCTGAGGAGGAGGATGCTGGGGGACACGCGGCCAGGTCAGTGGCTCACTGTCTGCCAGGCCTACGACCGCTGGCCGCCAGAGTGCGTGCAGCATGCACACCCCTCCAGCACCCTTCCGAAGGAGGGACTGTCTGCTTCCCCCTTGTGCCACTCCAATACCTCTCTCCTCAGAGCCTGTGAGGCCTTTTAAAACATGAATAAGGTCATGTCACCATGCTAGAAACCTCCAATAGACTCACACACAGCTCAGAGCCAAACCCTAAATCCTTCCTGACTCAAGTCCCCATCAGTCTCTCCAGTTTGGTCTTGAGACCTCCTGCCGTTGCTCACACCCTCCAGACAGGCTGGGCTTCCTATTTCCCTCAAACACGACCAAGCCTCTTGCAACCTTACGCACTTGGCACTGATGGCTCCCTGTCCTTGAAGTCCCCTTCCCGGGCTCTAAGCAGGTCTGGCACCTCTTTGTCCACCAGGTCTAAACTGACACTACTTCTCAGAGACGCCTTTCCTGACACCTGGGCGAGAGCCGTGAGCTGGTCACATCACCAGGTTTGCTCTTCTTCATAGCCATTTCTACTCTGGACGATGTCATTCTTGGTGCACTCGTCTCTCTCCCACTAGGTTCTAGTGACGATAATGTCAGCCCCAGCAGAGCCGGAGAGCGTCCGTCTTGTTCCCTTGGCCCCTTGGCTCCTGTCAGAGCACCTGGCACACAGCAGGGCCGAGTACGTGGTTCTAGAACGAACGCCTGGACAGAGAGGGAGGACGCAAACCCCGCGGAAACAAACCCAGCAGCATTGCTGGTGAAAGAGGATGAGATAAAGCTGCTTTAACTTGACTGCCCTCCTGTAAAACTCGTCAAAACAAGGAAAAAAGTGCCCAATGAAAGAGAAATCTATTAAACAAGGGGAATGAGTACAACCGCAAACACTGTAAACTGAGGCAGGTGGCAAGCTGCGAGCTGGGGGGGCAGATTTCCCCTCAAGTAAGAGGCACAGCCCTGAAAACACACCCAACTACTCACTGATTAACGTGGCAAAACGTAGGAGTGTGGCTGGGCCCTGGAGAAGCGGAGATCGTCACAAAGGGACCCCCTCTCCTCATCACAGACCAGCAGGGCGGGGAGCTGGTGAAGCCACTTGCTGGCACGACATTTCTATCCTCTGAGACCCAGGGCCTACTTCAGAAGGTGGCTGGAGTGACGTGGTAGGAGAACAGAGAGCGTGTGACCAGAGTCGCAGCTCACCGAGCAGATGGTGCAGACTCGCCTGCTACTCTCCTGGCCCCCGTGAGCACGGGCAGTTACGGGAGATGTGCTCTCAGGGCGCTCCAGCTGAGTGTGCCGGATTCTGCGTGCCAAGCCCAGCTCTGCCCTTGGGCAGCTTACCGAAACATTCCCTCCCCCGATTCCTCATCTGTCAAGTGGGCATTCTAGTATAATCTGCTCCTGTGAGTTGTGGGGTATTAAGTGAGGCAGACATTCAGAGTGGTGCCTGGCAGATGGTCAGCACTATGTAGACAGTAGCTGTTATTATTATC